AACCATATCACTCTCTGATTTGGAGAGAGCCTCTGCTCCTATCTCCCTCAGATCTCTTCTACGCTTCCTGTCTCGGATGTCTTCACTTGCTATGCTTGAACTTGCGCAACCAAGATATCTTGACACCCCTGATTGGATGTCCTGCACGCCCTGCTCGGGATACCCTTGCATTACCGTGCAACTCCTTGCATTACCGTGCAACTTCTTGCATGATGAACACTGGAGCAACTAGAAAACTTCAGAGTTTGACACATCAACATCCTCAATTTTCCTTGCTCGGAGCTTATTTCTGAACAACCAGCCTTTGCTTTCTGCACTTTAGAACAACTTCCCAACGATCTCATACGCCCGTTGTCTGTGCTGCAATCCCTGATGTTCGGTTCTGTCTCACTTGTACGTCCGTACTGATGTTTGACAGTTAGCCCTTCTGCCAAGACAACTTCCACCGCTTTGTACAAGTTACCACTATGCAACTCCGTGCATAGTGCTTGCACCCATGGCTCTGGTCTCCCTGCATCAAGCTTGCTTGAGAGATCTGCATCAACTCTATCATCTGCTGCCATGGAACTAAAGAAACCACCATAGAAAATAAGACTTGCCACTCCTGGCACGCACTCTTGCGTTTTACCTGTCTCAATTTCTCTGTCTGGAAGTTCCTGTGAACTGTCAACAACCCGCTGCTGCACATTCTTCTCGCGCCTTGTACGATACTCTAGCGTACCCTTGCACTGTTGCACGTCTGCAATTTACTTCTGCGCTTAGTATGCTTCTCTGCAACTATTGTTCTACATGTCCACATACCATTAGTACCTACTCGTATACAGTAGCTCCAACAGCCACAGTATTTCCCTGAGCCTGTACTGGTTGCCAAATCATCTATCCGTCGATGAATGGTCTTCTCTTTTGATTGAACCAGATCCTCCGACGAACTTCGGAGATAATCATTTCTGCAATCCTCTGATTACTCCTGACCAATCTTGATCTCCCTCGATCTGCCATTTAATCAAGCCTGATCTCTTCTGGTCTTCAATGATCTATCTCAATCTGTATCTGGTTGTCCAATCTGGTCAGAATCTGTCCATTCTAACCTCTTCAGTGAATCCGCAGCGTTCCACAATATCCGGCAACCTTCCTTTGACTATTGAAGATGACAAACACCCATGTTTTGACAATCTTCCCAAACCGTTCAGAATTTCACTATTCTGACCTCGCGGTTGCGTCCGGAGCGGTCCGTTTAGCTAGAACCAACCTTTGCTGCATTTCCGGGGACCTCACTGAAAACTATCCCCGAAAGCTGGGCCACACCACAATTTTCTGAAATTCTAGGCCAAAATTGCAATTTTCAGAAGTTCAGGGAATATTCCGTGTACCAACAGAATATTCCATACACTGCCCCTGACGCCGTCTGCCACTTTAATCTGCCTTCCTTTTACAGAAACTCCGTCCAAAATCTGACCGTACGGATGTGTTCGGAATACTCCAAATAGTCGGAAACCACTATTGGATCACCAAAAACGGACTCCAAATGGCTTCGATTTAGCCAAAACATTTTGTACGCCTCAGAATCTGCGGCTGAACCGTAGCCGCGAAGCACTGGATCCCTCCCTGCCTCTGGCTGACGGGGCAGACACGTGCATCCCTTGCTGACGTGTCGCCACGTGTTGCCGACGTGGCACGCTGACGCGGCATGCGCGTGCCTTACACGCGCCTTCCCCCACTTACCTTCTTCCTTCCGCCGCGCGTGGGGCGCGTGCCTGAGACTGGGCCGACGCGCCGACTGTCTTCACGGCGGTGTGAGGCGCGTGCCGAGACTGGGCCTCACGCGCCTTCTTCAGGAGGCGCGTGAGGGCGCGTGGGGCCTCCTCTGGGTGTCTGCTTTATATGGTTGGACTCCTCTTCTCGAGCCCTTGGTCCTGGTATGCTCAAAATCTGATTTCGAGCAACTTGATTTCTGGGCAGTTTCAAAACAACACGCTGTTTTTGTTCCGAAACGCCACCAACGAGGCTCTGATACACTTTGTGGGATCGGGGATCCCGCCCAAGACCTTCCAGAAATTATACCAAGTAGAAAAACACACCCACACGAAGGAGCCCCCATAAACTGTCTTCTACAACGGTCCGACATGACCCCATAAACTGTCTTCTACATCGGTCTGATACGACCACACAGTGTCTGCTACAACGGTCCGACATGACCCCGAAAACTGTCTGCTACAACGGTCGGACACGACCATACCGTGTCTTCTACAACGGTCTAACACAACCATACAGTGTCTCCTATCCCATTTTTATTTTTTATTTATCAGTTTATTTTTCTGTTTTGTTACTCTCTCCAAACTCAAGTTGGCTAGTACCTATCCTCCTTGAGTTTGAGGGGGGCTGTTAATGTACATTGTATAATTTACCATCACCTACCACACACTTACCGTCACCTACCACACACTCACCTACTACACTCACCTACTCCTCACCTACCACCACCTACTCCACTACACCTACATCTATATAAGGAACCCATCATACCATTTGTAATACACAACACACAATATACATCAATCAATAATACATACATCAATTTTACAATTACGAAGACATAACAAAATGTAATATTCAACAATTGATTGATGCAAGATATTTTTTTAATAAGAGGTTAGTTTTATATATATATATATAAATATTACAATAACACTCAATACCGTATTCGAATTTTTATATTCTAAGGGCATTGAGTGTTATTGTAATTTCTAAAAAATATTTTTTATGATGTTGATGGTTTAGATTTGTATTTTGAATTAAAAATTTTAAAAGAAATTATAGAAATAGGAGAAAAAGAAAAACACCAATTGAGATTATGTTAAAAATATATATATTATTTTAACCCCAAAAGGTTTAGCTTAGTGGATGAAAAAAGCAACCAAATGGCTCACTACCTAAGAGCTTGCAAGTTCAAAATTCACGAAAGCTAAACATTCCAAATCTTAGGGCCGCTAAAGGTTTATCTAGTCGTTAATTTCAGGGTTCTGAGATTTAGTCGAGATACACGTAAACTGGCCCAGATGTCCGGTTATAAAAAAAATATATTTTCTTAATGCATATATTGCTTGCAAACTATTATTAATAATACCCACAACAATTGCTTCTGCAAATAAATAAAAAATAAATTAAATTAAAGCTAAGATTGATTGACTGTAACAAGAAATATTATGTTGATTAGAATTTTATTAATTAAAAAAGATACATTAGAAAAACTTAATTACAAATCTTAATTAGTAATTTTGCACCACAAAGAGCATAAAAAAATAATTTTAGATAAAAATATATAATTAAAAATTATAAGTAGTATAAAATATCAAATTTTATTAATTAAAAAAGATACATTAGAAAAACTTAATTACAAATCTTAATTAGTAATTTTGCACCACAAAGAGCATAAAAAAATAATTTTAGATAAAAATATATAATTAAAAATTATAAGCAGCATAAAATATCAGAAGGCATCACGACAAAATTTTTAATATTATTTTTGAATAATTTAGGTGCTTGTTGGCCTGATGTGAACAGATAATGCTAATTGCTGGGATTGAGAGTTCATCAACACCTATGGCATGGGCAATGTCACTACTCCTTAACCATCCAGACATAATGACAAAAGTTCGAGCAGAGGTAGATGTTGTTCCTGTTTAGTACAGGTTAAAAGTTACTTATTTTTAGTTTAATTTAAGTTACATTATTATGTTTGGTATAAATTTTATCAAATTATAGCTTAAGTTAAGTCATTTTCAGCTTGTTTTGGAAAGCAACTGGGGGGTGCTTATAAATATGGCTCATGCACGCAGCTGGGTAAAGGGGGCTGAAATGACTTAAATGCCCCTCCAAAATTCAGGAAATTACGAAACTGCCACTATATATACCCTTTTCTTCAGTTGCCCTAACACTCTCCTCTCCTCTTCTCCTCTCCTCTCTGGCGACCGACGAGACAAACTCCTCCATCTCCAAGATCGCAGCCGATCGTTTAGTTTGGCCCCCTGTTTTCCGTTGATCTGCACAAAAAAAGGTAAAGATTTCATGCCTTTGTATGTTATATATATATATACACACATTGATCAGGCTCTTCTTGCCTCGTCTTGAACCCTCTGTCACAAACACCACTCTGATCAGGTCTTTCTGTGACCTTCTCACCATCAAATCTCTATTCTCAGGCCCATCTTTGGAGGTTTTTAGGGTTAATCAAATGATAACATAATTTCTAGGGTTAATCAAATCAAATCACAACATAATTTCTTGATGATAGAAAACAAAAACCCTAAAAAATCTCAGGCTTCTAATTGTTAGATTTTTTAAAGTGGTTCAGGATTTCTTGCTCTTCCTTTGATTTGTTGTTATTGTTATTATTATTATTATTATTATTATTATTATTATTATTATTATTAAAAGCACACAACTGACTTCTATGAACTTTTGAGCAACACTATATATTTCCAATGCTATTCATGTGCAAAAATGGATGATGGTTATAACTGAATCAAACTGAACCATGCTGTCTATTTGCTTCTAAGAGTTGTGTGTCCTCTCCACTTGATTTTCTTTTGAGTTGATGTTTGTTGGTTTTCAATTTGATGTTCATAGAATTTGTTTTTCTGTCTTTGTTTGGGTGATGTTTGCAATTATTGTTGTTTTCTCTTTTGCTCTATGAATACATTCTGTCTTTGCTCTGTGAATACATTCTAGATTTAAAAAAATATTAGGGGACCAATTCATTTTTAAAACAGTATGATGTGTATGCATGAAGTTTTCTTTTCTTTTTGATTAAAAACAAAACAATTGATCTATAAGGTAGTCCATGTAATTTATTATCATCTAAATTTTTTGCCTTAAGGGAGAGGACCAAAGAAAATTACGATTACTTGAGTGTCCTTTGAACACTAACGCTGTGTTTGGTTGGGAGATTTGGGGAGGGATTTGGAAAGAGAAAAGGAAAATGTGTGTGAAACTATGTGAAATGTAGGCATGTTTTTTTCACATTTCACCTACCTTTTTCATTTCTCTTTCCAAATCCCTCATCAAATCTCTCAACCAAACACAGCATAAACAAATCAAATGTTGCAGTTTTGATTGTTAATATGTTTTATCCTTGAGGATTTGAAGTCCAACAATTGCATCAGAATCAATTAACCAATCTATGGATTAATTAGCATCAATGAATTCCTATCTCATTTCAAACTATGGATTAATGAATTAATGAATTCCTGTCTCATTTTATTGTTTTGATCTTTTTTTGGTTCATAGGTAAGGTGTGTGGTTAGATTTGTGTGAGAAGTATGATCTCAATCATCTTTCATAAAGCTGGAATCAGAAAATGACCAAATGAAATGTATTTACAATTAATTTCCCAATCAATTTTCGAGGATTTGGATTCAATTCTTCGAATTCATAGACTTAGATCCTTGAAAAAATCTTAATCTACCTGAGAGACATCGAATTCATAGATGAAACCAATAGCAATCTGAAGAAGTGGATTGTCCTTAGGCTTATTATGGATGGTTTTGAAGCCTCCCTCTGTAAACTTCCTGGCCTGCTACCATTGGTCGCCCTTCATGTCTCTTTCTCTCTCTGATCTCTCTCTCTGTGGATTTTGGTAAGGACCCATTTCTGATATGTGTGTGTTGTGTTGTGTTCATGAGGTGTTTGAATTTACAAGTGATTATGAATATATAGATGTTTTGATGAAAGACAGCAATGGTGGTGGTGATGAAACAGTGAGGTTGATAGTGGACATGGATTTCAGGTCTCAGTTTGAGCTAGCAAGGCCTATTTCAACATACTCAAAGCTAACAGCTTATTTGCCTCCCATATTTGTTGGGAGTGAAGAGAAGCTAATGGAGATAATATGTTTGGTTTGCTTGGCAAATAGCATCAACAATTTTCTCAAGACTACTCAGAGATGGAATTTAGATTTGGTTGTATTGTTCAGCTACTGCCAAATTTAGGGGATGTTGTTATTGCTTTTTTTTTTTTGAAAAGAAAAAAAAATTAAAATCATGAAAACTTGTTTGATAGAAGTATTGTTTTCGTGTTCCTATAAATTGTTGAGGCTATGCCTCAAAGTTTTATTCTTTTATTGTTACCTTTAAAAAGGAAAAAGTTGTGATGATTTTTCTGGCAATTATCCATTTTAATGTCCTCTAGTTGTTTATCTATTTTATTTTATTTACTAATTTTGTTCTCATCACAGGCCTATCCAATTTGATCAAATAGTATTCAGGTTATAAAGTATAGATAAGAAGAGGAAACGCCATGTATGAATCGTATATATCTTATACTTAAAAAAAATTAATTTTAATTTTTTAAGTCATAATTGAAAAAAAAAAAAGAAAAAATATCATAATTAAATACAATATGAGGCATAACTAAAGAAATTATGAGTAAGGGCTAGGCTTCTCTTGTGAACTCAATATTAAAAAAAAAAATGACATTTTTATTGCAATGATATTTTTTTTGTTCCCTTGTGAACTTAATATTAAAAATAAATAAATAAATAAATTGAGGTAATGGAAAAATGTACCAAATTAGGTAATTATTATATCAACTTCCATTAATGAAATAATTTTTTAAAATTTAAAGTGAAGAAAATGACAAAACTACAATTTTTATGTTCATTGGGTAAAAATGACAATTATGTGGCAAAAAGTTATTTCACAGCTTATTTGCCAAACACTATTCTGCTGCTTAAATTCATAATCTCACAGCTGCACCAAACAGATTACCAACTTATGTTCACAGCTATAAGTTATAATCCGTTAAGTTATAATCTATATTCATTTTCTCACAACTCTACCAAACGGGACTGCTAGTGTTGGACAACAGCGCCTCATAGAGGAACAAGACTTGCCCAAGTTGGATTACCTATCAAATGTAGTCATGGAATTGCTTCGATTATATTTACCTCTCCCACTTCTAATCCCACATGAAGCATCTAAAGAATGTACTGTTGGAAATTATGATGTCCCGCGAGGCACAATGTTGATGGTAAATCCATTGGCCATTCATAGGGACCCTAAGTTATGGGAAAATCTAACAAAGTTCATGCCAGAGTGGTTTGAAGCAGACAGTGTTGGAGACGGGTATAGGATGATTCCGTTTGGCAGTGGAAGACGTGGATGTCCTGGGGCTAGCCTGGCTAACAAGATGGTTGGGTTGGCACTTTGAACCTTAATTCAATCATTTGAATGGAAGAGAGTTGATGAAAATGAGGTGGATATGGTTGAGGGTTCAGGCCTTACCATGCCCAAATTGAAGCCGTTAGAGGCCTTTTGCAAGCCACGGCTATCCACGAGCACACAATGTCTTGTTTGATCGTATTTAATTTAGTTTTACTACAGACAGAAATAAATGAAGTTACAAAATAGACACAATAGGGTGTGAAGTCCAAACCTGTTATTATGTGGTTTGTTATGTGACTCTAAAATTTCTCTTTTTGATTTGTGAAATGATTCAATGAAGCTTAGCTCTGTATGAATGTTCTGATAATGTACCTTTCTCCCAACTACTGATGTTGAGCTATGCTATCTTTTCATTGTGAGTACCCTTTCTAGTTGTTACTTAAAATATCAAATTTCAACAATTCAAATGATAGAAATCTCAAGAGTTTTCAGGGCGACTCTAGAAATTTTTATGAATAGTGTCATTCAATTTTTTTTGATATTATCTGTATTTTCTATATTTTATTTTTTCATATTTTCAAAGACAAAAATATTGAAAAGTTTAAAAACATGTAACATTTAATATCTTCTATATATTTTTTTAAGTAAAACAATGTTTGAAATTAAAAAATAGTCCTTAAAAGGAGTATTATTTTCATTTTTTTTTCTTTCAAAAATTGCCTATCAAGCAAGATTTTCATATTAGTTTTTGTTTTTTTTATTTATAAAAATAAAAAACTTCTCAAATTATAAATAAAAAACTAATGTTATTTTAACAAAAAAAGACAGGAAACACTTTTACGGATCCTCTATACGGATCCTCTATGGTGTACTCTCTGTAGTTCATTCTATAGTACTTTGAATGACAATATGCCACATCAAAAACATAGAAGAACTATTTAAAGTTAAAAATAAACTATGTTTTAAAGAGCAATACCATACATAATCACTTTTCTTATCTCATTTTCTCTCTTGGACCAAATAATGTGATTCGCATTGTAAAATAACTGATGTATTATTATTGATTGATTTTTTGTATTGATTGATATATTATGTTTACAATGATCAAATATATAGAAGAGAAGAAGGTAGTAGGTGAAGTGGTAGGAGGTGAAGTGGAGGTGGTAGGTGGAGTGGGTTATAGTGGAGGTGGTAGGTGGGTGGTAATTTACAGTTTACATTAACAGCCCCCCTCAAACTCAAGGAGGATAGGAACTAACCAACTTGAGTTTGAAGAGAGTAACAAAACAGAAAAATAAACTGATAAATAAAATAAAAATGGGATAGGAGACACTGTATGGTCGTGTCAGACCGTTGTAGAAGACACGGTATGGTCGTGTCGGACCGTTGTAGCAGACAGTTTACGGGGTCATGTCGGACCGGTGTAGAAGACAGTTTACGGGGTCATGGGAAGCTGTTCGTCGGAGAGATGTGGAAGCTCTTCGTGGATGGAGCGTCCAACAGGCAGGGTGCAGGACTAGGCATAGTCCTCATCTCACCAGATGGCCTAGTGGTGGCGCAAACAGTCAAACTTGGCTTCCCAGCATCAAACAACGAAGCGGAATATGAAGCGCTTCTGTCAGGCTTAAAATCAGCATCCTACATGAAGGCCACCGAGCTAATGGTTTATAGTGACTCACAACTGGTGGTAAATCAAATTTCAGGCGACTACGAGGCAAA